CCTATTTTTCAGGAAAAATGATATGAACTTGATCAACAGGCTCATTGATTTCTGAACTTGAATTTCCAGATTTCTTGATGGTTGAATCAGCTCAAATATTTTTCATCTATATCACCAAATTTCTCTTCTTGGTTTTTAGCTTCATGGGTTTCATTCTTATTTATTAGTATAAATCTCTCCCCCCCTCCTCTGTTGGGGTTCAAAAGACTGTGGCATGGGTGACTATGTGACAAGTCTCATATCATTCAATTCCCTCTCCTCCAGTTACCTAGACAGCAGAGATTCTGCTCTCCTTGTCTGAAGTAGGTGCTCTTTTGTTTTCCTTCTCTCTCTCTCTCTCTCTTTTTTTTTGGATCAGTAACTTTTACTTGCAAGATATTCTTCTCTCCATTTCCATTCATCTGCAATTAAAAATCCTAGCTAGTTTGGTTCTAGATTTTCCTTAGGCCATTGAGCTTGTCCCATCTATTTAGATCCAAACACAAGAGAAGTGAAGGACACAGTCCTCACAATAAGTTCAAATTTAATTACCAATTATTGTAACTCAGAATTGATCATCAAATTCTACCTAAAGATGGACATCAGTACCCGTTTGGAGGTACCCGGCACCCGTTTGCCTGGTACCGCCCAGACCCGCCTGGCACCTGCCAGGGGGTGCCATGTGAGTTACCTGGTGTCAATTTCTGAGCAAAACAAAGGTGGTACCAGGGTACCGCTAGAGGTACCCTCTTTACTGCGCAGTCACTAAGTAGGGTGATGGCCGTTGCCTTCTACTCAAAAAATGGGATGATAAAGGAAGGGGTGTTGGCCAAGTGGAAAGATGATATTCAGACTGCTAAGAAGGGTAAATCAGATGGGAAAGGTAAAAGAAAGTTGATAGTATTAGAAGATTAGCTCAACACAATACTTGCATGTAGTGAGAAAAAAAAGTGAACTGCAATTTCAAGTCATAAGAGTGCCATTTGCACTGCGGCCGCAGGTACCGCTGGTACCTGCCCAAAGTACCGCTGGTACCCGCCAGGTGGTGCCAGGTGAGGTACCTGGTTTCCATTTCTGAGCAAAACAAAGGAGGTACCCGGGTACCGATGGCCATCTTTAATTCTACCTCAATTTGAAGAAAACAAGACTGCAGAGAAAGAATATTAAGGGGGGCTCACAATTTGGGCAAGGTTAAGATTGAGAAAACCCAATGTATGTTGATTTCTAGTAAGTAATCTATACTACAGTTGAATAGACTAGTTACAAATAATTGAACAGACAAGTGTCACTAAGATAGGTGATAATTCATACTAAAAAGGGTTAATTGACTGAGAGGATATTGATAATACATGCATCTATTTAGATGAAAAACAGGCTATCATGATGAGTGAAAAAATGTGCAGTGAAATAATAGAAAAGTGATTTTTGGGGTGAGTAAAATATAGATCAAAATTCCATCACAATTGTTTTCCAAAAAAAAAATTGGTTCAATAGTTGGTGTCATCTCTATGTGCTTATCCCTCTTCAAAGTTACCCCAATTTCTGTTGATCTTGATCCTTTTATTCCTATTTTTTTCTCTCTCTCAAATTCACCTGTATGTGGCCATCATATCTACCACATTCAATCCCCCAAGATTGTAGATACTTATAAGACTTTCCACACTGTGAGAAAAATTTCAAAATACTGATGGAAATTGATGTATTTCAAGAATGCAATTCATACCCCACCTACGGATGGTAATTGGTCCAGGTGTCCAGCGGGCCGCCCAAACCCGACCGGGTTTGGGCCAAGCTTTTTATGGAATTTTTTACTTAGGCCCAGCCCGAGATGACCCGATTAAAGGTCGGGTCTACTCGGGCTGCCCGTCGGGCGCCTGTTGGGCCGGTGCAGTAGTGGGGGGTCCTGACTCCTGGTCCGAGTGGACCTGACCAAGTGCCAGGACCCCTCAGAGCTGAGCTTATCCCGAGGTCCGAACCGACCCCAGCTCCTACTCCGTTTGCGACCCCGCCACCGCAAGTGCTAGCGCCAGGATCTCAACTTCTCAGTGACCAAGCCCGCGGGCAGCCCGGATAAGCCCGTGGGCAGCCCGCTAACAGCCCAGAAGCCCTTGTCATTATCGGCCTGCGGGCTGCCCATGGGCGGCCTGTGGGCAGCCCGATTTGTAAACGGGTTCGGGTCGGGCTGTTGATTTCTTGAATGCAGCCCGGCCCGACCCACCCGGCAATGTTCCGGCCCGCTTCGAGCCGATTATCATCCTTAACCCCACCTACTGATCAACTTGATCTAAACCCATTTCAACTATAATTTCAAATCCTTTTATACCTTGATGCATGTGAATCTGTATTAGTGACAAGCCTGATGCTAGTTGACACATTTTGACCCAATGATTACAATATGCAAAGATTTAGAATACGTTTGGGCCAATGATGATAGTCATGTTTAGCCCATCTACATATAACTAAAAAAATGGCCTCAGAGGGCCAAACAAACTGTCAGCCTTTGTATTGATTTCTCATGCGGCTTCTAACGCCGGCGTTGATGTTGCACATGTCAATGTCATTTAAGACTTTACAATCATAGCGACCTTCAAAAGCGAAAGCTATTACACCATAGGACCTTCAAACAAGTAAAACCCCCAACATCCGGGGCAAAAACAAGCAGCCCCCAAATTTGGGGGCATATACTAGTTTTTACATATAAGCATAAAAATCAACTGATCAAGACCAAATGTTGAAATTTCACTTATCAATCTCTCCTTCTCTTGCCTTTTTTTCTTTGTGTCACATGTCACTCACTTTTCACTGGTATCCTTCCTTATTTCTGGTTCAATATGCATCAATTTCTGCTCCCACATCTTGTGCATTTTGCATCTAGACTATTTATGCCCCTGGATTTTAAGAAATAAAAAGGAAACCATTGCTTCTTTGTTCTTTATAATCGTTCCTGAAGGAGCACTTGAGCCCTTCTTCAGTCTTGTCTGTGAGCACTTCAGCCCTCTCAGCAAGAATCAAAAACCATTTTTTAGGTGTTTTTGTCCAAACTTGAAGACCAAAAGAAGGGGCTTAATACAATACAAATATTGAAAAAAAAAATGTTGGAAATATCAAATAAAAAAAAATTCTCTTGCATTACTTTGCCATAGTTTCTCCTGATTGAACGGTTCCATGTTGAGTCACTTCCTGTGCCACTGAGACCTTTATATATATACACCAAACATCATCATCTTTTGACATCATGAACTTCTATCTATGTCTACATTGATCAGATCCAATATTCCAGTCAATTATTATAATCTCATTTTAGTTTTCAATACCCTGACCCCTTGACAACCCAGGACTTACAGCTCATTATAGGAGGGAGGGTTTGTGATTGAAATAAATGAATGCATAGATCCGACTTGATAAAGAGGCCCCACCCACCCAACAATTTTGACATTTTTATATGAGCAGGGCAGACTTTGGGATGCAGGGGGGGGGGGGACAATCTGTGGGACTTGAGAAAGATGGATCAACATCTAATAAAGCTGCATGGGCTTTATGTATGTTTGAGGGCCCGTATGTACGATCACACCAAATCCCCAAAAATTGAACTTTTTTTTCTTCTTTCCAATCTTTGCAAGCTCAACTCACAAATCCCAAACTGAAGTTAAGTGTAACCAACAATGGGCCGCAACGCTAACCGTAGCTGTTAGTGGTGTGCGTAACGTAGCAGAATTCTGCTAACGTTGAGTGTAGCAGAATTCCGCTAACATTTAGTGTAGTGGAATTCCACTAATGTTTAGTGTAGCTGAATTCCGCTAATGTTTAGTGTAGCTGAATTCTGCTAACATTTAGCATAGCGCAGCGGAATTTCACCACGACTGTGTGTGTGTGGGTGGCAACAAAGGGCCCACTACGCTGTCCTACAATGCATTTCAGCATTTTTTGGGCCTTTTTTGCCGCAAAAAGCTTTGTAGCCCAGCGCAGCATAGCATATACATAGTGGCACTAACAGCATGCTAACACTACAGGTTTGGTGCGCTGTTTTGAGGGCTGTGTAGTGTACTTGTAGCGGCCCATCGGTGGTGTAACCATCAATAGTCCTCAGATTAATATCAACCTTCAATCAAACACCATCACATTTAATTCATGTCAAGTTTGTTCCGCTGAGATTGGAAAATTGACACCAATTTTTGTAAGGCTCTAAAGATTTGATCAATCTTTCACTCTTCGACTCTGCTAATACACAATAGACTCATTAATCATAAGGGCCTCTGTTCCAAATTCTTAAGCAATCACTAGCTGTTTCTTATGTTTGCACATTCCAAGTCACAATACAAACAAACATAGATATTTTAAACATTGCATTCATCGCTATAACATATCTCAGACAATTTTTCAATTATACATTGTTGTTCTATGCATACTTTCTTTGACCATTGAGTTTGTTTTTTCCTTGCCTTGCCTTGCCTTTCCTTTTTCTTCCTTTCTCTTTCTTCCTTCATTCTTCTTCTTTCTCTTTCTCTTTCTTTCGCTTTCGTCTTTCTTTCTTCTTTCTTTTGTTTTCTGCTTGCAAGTTACAATCAGAATCCAATCCAATCCAGAAAAGAGAACAAACCCACACAATTCCCAACAAAGAGAAAGAAAAAAGAAAATGAAAAAAGTGGGACCAGGAAGGAGAATGTATATATGTATATATATATCAAAGCATATATATAAATATATATAAAGCAATTGAAACAAAGATTTAAAAAAAAGCCTCAAACAAAAAGTAGTAACAAGAGAAAAAAAAATGAGAGCAGCCAGGTATACAGGAGAACAAAAGCAGAGCAAAAGACGATGTAAGAAGAAGAAGAGGGGTTGGGGGTGGTAACCAAACAAAGATGAGTCGCCTAGGGAATCGATGCCGGACAGTGAGAATCCAGCAGGAAGGAAGACGAGGTGAGGTAATCAATACATACACACAGAGAGAGAGATAGAGTAAACAGAGCAAAAGAAAGCAGGATGGGTTCGATGGTTGGAGGTGGTGAAGAAGGCTAGAGAAGAACAAGTTGAGAAGTTATGGGCGCAAAGGAGATTCCAACGAAGAATCAGAAATGGGGGGGGGGGATGGATAGAGGGACGATCAAGGGGAGAGAGAATGCAGATTGCGAATATGATCAGAAGAGAGAGAGGTAGTGATAGCAGACGAAGCAGCGGCCGCAGTAGTGGCAGCAAGATCGGTGAGTCTGTGCTCAGAAGAGGAGGAATGTAGGGGGACGGGGACCGAAACTGTGGAAGGATCGAGAGAGTCGGAAGGCACGGACTCGGACGAGTTGAAGAAGAACTCGTTTTTAGAAGCGAGGGCGAGTGAGCGGACTCGGAACCTATGAGGGGAGTGATCGAGGTCGACGGAGAAAGCCTTACTCGGATGATGATGATGATGAGAATGATGGAGAACGGAGGAAGGAGGGGGTCCTTTGCCGACCAAGGAGTAGGTCGCAAAGGAGCCCGAGGGTCCGTAATGATGGTCGTCCGGGACCGAGCCTTCATCGATCTGGCCCGGCGAGGCCACTTGACTTCTCGTCGTCGACATCGCCGTGCTCATACAAAAGCCGCTCGAGGAGGAAGAGGAGGGGTAGTGGTGCGAGACCGAGCGTGCACTCTTCTTGTGACTTAGAAGCGGCCCTTCTCCCGCTCGACTGGCTCGGTTGGGTCCCAGGATCGAATGTGACTTGGAGCCAAGCTCTCGTTGTTCAAAGTTCATCAACTCCGCCAAGAACCCGATATCTTTTTTTTAATAAAGAGCTCATTAATATATCTTTCTGCTTGTCATCGTTACGGATTCAGATGAAGAGCTTACTTGGACAGATCCCTTGTCGTCGTTCCGAAACATGTGCATAGGATTTCTTCAAGCTCCATCGATACCGATGGATCAGATAAGCCAAGACGATCGTCACCGACCGGGATTTTCCGGCCTTACAATGAACATAAGTCGGTGCTGAATGTAAGAACGCATCATCTAGAGTAGTGTACAAAACAAATCGATCAGTAAAACTTGGACTTTCGTCTGATAGTGTGGGAGGAAATGACTAACTGAGGATTCGATTAGCTTGTTCAATCCCTTTCTGTACCCCTGTTTCTTCCACAAAATCACGCAATGGGATGAGGAAGTATTTGCGAACGAACGGATAGCGATCACGAACGAGCTCCTCCTCATCGACGCATTCGAGTGCGGTATTTAGGATCCGCTGGATTCCGAGCCGTTTGAGTTCGGCGAAGTCGGTCTCCTTGGAGGGTTCGGGACCCAAGTAAAGGAAGGAAGGGATAATCGTTGAGACTTTGAAGTTGATCTCTGGGTCCGTATTAGGCGAACATGGTGACCGGTCCTGAGATCTTTCGGCTGATGATGTCAGTCGACTGGTCGCTGGTTGGGTGGTGGACAGGATCTGGTCGCTGAACGTCACATGGGGTCTAGTCGAGTGGGTCGATGGAGTAGGAGGATGTTCGTGAGGCTCGCGAGAGGTGCTGGGGTGGGAGGCGGAGTAGGTAGAGGAACAGGTGATGGAGAGATGGTCGATCTTTAGCTGGGCGAGTGAGTTTTTGGCGCTCAGTGCAAGACTGGCGGTGGACCGAGGTGCGCTGAGGAAGGACTCGGAGGTGTCGATGCGGCGCAGCTTGGGTGGCTTAGTCTTGGAAGGGACTGGCTCGCTGACAACTAGCGAGGTCGATAGTCCTGGGGAGCAAGCAGCAGAACCAGGCTGCTGTGTCTGTTCGCGGGTCAAGTTGTTGTCCTGGTCGATGGATGGCAGCGATCTTACTGGGGCACTGGGTCGTAAGCGTAGGAGTCCCTGTGGTCCAGAGGATATTGTTGTGGTTGTTGTTGTTGTTGTGGTGGTGGTGGTGGTTGTGGTGGTGGTCAGAGTTGAAGTTAGACTACTAGTATGATGTATTGAGTGATGACTGCGATCGAGGGGACAGGTGCCCTCCTGTGAGCTTCTTTCAGGTCGATGAGGTTCACCGAGGAGGAGAGAATGATGTGCGTCTGGGTTTTGGCTCAGTGATTCAAAGCTCTCAGTGAGGAAAAAGAGACCGGAGGTACGATGACGTTGGCTGAAGAGGTTACTGAGTACGTCGAGGAAGATCCTTCCGAATGAGTTGGTTGTTTTGGGGAGGTGAGAAGAGGTGGATGGTGGTGGGTGGACTAGTTCGTCTACCAGTTGATCATCAATCACACAGATATCTAGTTGGCTGAGTACTGAGGATGAGCCTGAGGAGTCGTCGTTCGATTGTTGGAAGCTCTTTTCTAGTTTTGAGTAATAGCGTTTGCCAGCCTCGGTGGTGATGAATGGATTGAGTTGGAAGTCCCTCGGGGTACCTTTCCGGAATCGTTTGATCAAGAGTGAAGGGAAGTTGACGTTTCTATATGTAATAAAAAAAAAATAGTAGTTAGTTAGGATACTGGTTGATTATTGGAGTAAGTAGGGTGACTAACATGGAACCTTTTAGTCGACCGTTAGGACCGAGGTAGGTGTTTAAGCTTCTGAGATCGATGACTAGGATGGGCTGTTCTTTTGAGTTGGAGATGAGTTTTAATAGTTGATCGGATGAGATTCCGATTGGTTGGAGCGTGCTTTCAGCAGTGCTGGTGGTGGTGGTGGTGGTAGTGGTAGGTAGATTGAGTTTGAGAGATTTGCGTCGTTTGGTGGTAGTTGAGTTCCTTCTGGTGGATGGTACTCGATGGATGGTACCATTGTGTGAGCTGGATCGGTTGAGGGATGAGTTTGAGTGGGGTGGGTCGATGAATTTGACGCCTAGTTCTTCGATTCCTTTGATCTCTAGTTGGGTGAGACTGGTTGGGGGTGTTGGGTTCCAGCTCTTTCTGAAGATTGGTTTGTTGATTGAGGTGAGTGAGAGTCGTTTGTTGTTGGTTGGTGAGTGATGATGCTGGTGTTCTAGTGATGGTGATGGATGGGGAGTGGTCCAGATAGGTAGTTCGAGTGCGATGAGATCTGTTTGGAAAGAGATAGTTTTGTTTAGTTTAGTTTTTTGTTTTTTGTTTGTAGTTTGAAGTTCGTGCTTACCCTTTGGACTGATGAGTGATGAGCTTGTTGGTCTTTTGTTTTTGTTGTTTGTTGTTGTTGTTGTTGGTGAGTTCATGGTTTTGTTGGTTTTCGGTTTTCGGTTTTCGTTTGATTTGGTTCTTGTTGGGTTTTATTGGGAGGGGATGGGGATGGGGGGGGGGGAGGATTATGATATTTAAGTAGCAGTGGTTGTCATCCCAACTGATTTGTTGCAGGGATCCCTTGAAACCCTTTAATCAGTCTCCAATACCCAGCCAACTTCTAACTTGAACTTCAAGCACCACTAATTAGACGAACGGATTGTAGTGCAAAATTTCAAACTGGAGACACAATCCACATCAAAGAACCAAAGAGTTACATAGTATTTATATCCTCAACAACACCCAATGGCAAGACACCATTTAGTATCACAGCTCCTCATAATTGGGCAGAAGGAAGAGAATCATACATCGTAGTCATGGGCTTAATCAAACTTGACAATATTGCACAATTATTAGTGCCCGTTTTAAGGCCTTTATGTTCAACAACATTTTGAAAAAAAAAAAAAAAAAAAAAAAAAAAAAAAAAAAATCACAAGCTGAGCGGTCAATTCTGAACAATCAGAACATGTATTTTACATGTACAAATCATTTTTTAAAAGAAAACAAAAAGTGTATTTGTAACCCATCAAATGTCAATTAGTATAAAACACCTCTCCGCATGTAATGAAGGACTTCCTGTTCCCATTGAGATTGTTTTTAGACCTCTCCAAGTCTTGAATTACACAATCCAATCAAAACTCCTACCAGCTCACATGCAGAGAGTGGATGACTTCCTGTCGGCATTTACAACCCTCGCAGAATTGGATTTACACCATGAAGGACTTAAATTTTTGGCAAAAAAAAA